GCTTACGTCACTTATGACATAGAAGTATATGCGTTTCAAGCAAAGAGTGAGTATAGCGCACAGCGGTGCACTATGTATTATTGCATGGCTATGAAACACGGTTTACGAAAGTACACAAAAGTGTAGAATGCGTGTTGCTTGTCACAGATGTCTCAGAATGATTGACCACGTGAATGAGTAATGTTTAGGTTAGGTGTAGGATTCGTGGCAAAAGTGCCCAGTCAGTTGATGAGGTTATGAACCTTAATTAACTGAAGTGGCTGGGACAGGTGTGACGTATATTTAATCACCACCTGATTGAACGTGTGCTGCTTGCTGGTGTAGAAATAGGTTGGAGGGAAACAATGAGTTGTCAAATCAAAATGTGTCACCATTGCATGAAGTCATTGAATGTTGGTTCGCTGGAGTCATGCTGGTGGATGCAGACTACATGTTTGTTATCGGCATGATGACCGTGATCAGTGTTTATGGGGTTCGGATGGAGTTATTGATAATCAGTTAAAATGACGCGAATGAATCCATTCATTATTTTGAATTGTAGTATTTCTTCATACATACCTTTTCATCCTTTTTTTCATACCATATCCTCAATGTCAAGTATCTTCTATAGTCATTGAAATGACTATCTGTCCAGGTTCATTTTAAGTTTTGAGACATCTATTCTTTAGAAAAAATGTATTAACAATTATGCTTAAAATTTATGCAGTAAAAGACTCTTTCTGAATGTTACTTGGATCTATTTATTTTGTCGGAAATATTTTAAAATGACATCAAAACTATTTATCATTTCTAACACTTCATACTATGTCTAGAAAGCAGCAAACCAGTTTGCATTTTATCCATAACAGTATTTTTAAGAAATGTCAAAATATTATGAGAAATATTTACAATCTTTGTCGCACTATAATTTAACGAGTTACAAATAAGTCATTTTACAATCTCTAAGGAACAAAAGTTCAATTAAACCTGATAGACTACTAACACTAATACACTATGTTTAGATCGATGTTTTAGGTATTTCATCTACAGGCTTAAACTATGCCCTTTTAACAAACAGCTGTTATTATTGCTTTTTTTTATTTTATTTCGTTTGCATTAAATAAAATGAATAAGACCGCGATTACGTTCGGATGTTAGGTAGTTAGAGGTAATCGACAAGAAACCGTAGACTGAGGTTTCGTGCTACTTGGGGTTCCTCAGCAAAATGTACCTGTAATCTTGAGGGAATTGATCTTCTCTGGTGCATTAGATTTCATGTCGTCCAGTTGCGTAGCTAGGTCATTAGAATTCGGTCACCAATAAGCATGACTACCTACATAACACTGATCACTACTGAGTGATAGGTCAATTGTGCACATACTTCCATTTATTTAACTGGAACTGAAAGTGTTATAGGAATCCGTAGTTTGAAAAGTTTTTACATAAATAACTTTAAAAATATTATTGAGATCACGGACCAATCTAAGTTAGAACATTTAAAATCAGGAAGCATTTGATGGATGTTTCGTCCACAAACCCGTAGTTCCAAAAAATATTAGTCAGCTCATATGTTATGTTAATACTTGCAGTCTTACATATTGCATTTTCACTAGTTTGTCTTTTAATTATACATCTGGAATATAAACACGAGGATCACTGTACACCGTTAGTCGAGAAACTTAGTCGAATATGCATCGCGCAGTATTTTACCATTATTATGAGGGCTTAATATTTCCTGAACTATACCACACCGTGAGAGGTGTTTAGGGTAATGTTTAACAAGACATGTGATACTGGACAGATCCTAAATTAGAAATGTCCAATGACTTCTTCACAATCTAATCAAAGATTCTCATATTTCACAGCAAAACGATACTATTCACTCACTTATTTCAAATCTATTGGGCCATATTTTTTACTTTAGCCAATTAGTGGTACATCAGGATCCTCATTCATCCTTGTTGTTGAGTTACTCAACCAATCCTGACTTGACCAACTTTACACGTCACAACTTCTAATTAGAATGATGGACTTTGTGATTCACCAATACACTTGGAGGTCCTTGACTCAGTTTTTATGGGGTTATGAGTGGGAACCTCTGAAAAAACTTAAAATAGAACGCGACAACCAGTGAGGGTTCTAAGAACTTTGGGAGTTTTCAAATTCATATTACTTCCTAAGTAAATTTGCATTTAGTGTTTTGTTGAATAAAGCCTATGTACTAACATTTTTCGTTTCAATATAAAAACCAGTTTAGATGAAATTGTAATTCACTTTGTTTACTGTGATATTTTGGATTCAATTAACAGAAATAATAATTTTTAATATATTTACATGGTGTCTTCGTTAATGTTTTGTAAAGGAATGATGATATATAATTGTATGGATTATTTTTCTAGATTCACTTTCTACCTTTGAAATTTTAGCCAATGAACTAAATTGATCTCAAATGAAATTGTAAAACAAACAAACAATTCAGATAAAATGTTATATTTTGACTTTCAGTACTTCATGAAATATACCTTTGCACATACGCATACAACAGAAAAATAAAGAAACATACTTGGAAATAAAAGATGAATATTCTTTTTTTTTTTACCTAACAGCCTGATGACTTTATAACATTAAGGTTATCTTTATCTTATTTGTTATATCTAATGTATTTGTATGATTTTTTTTCCAGTGAACTTTATAACACACACATACACATTACATTTTAGATAAAAGGACAGAAGAGAACTGAATAAAAAAAGGAAGAAATCGTGTCAGTTTGTCAGAGAGAAAAGCAAAATAAACTAAAAAAAGAACCAAACATAATATTAACAGTGATAATTAATATGTACATTAAATTTATGAGTATACGTGTGCACTTGCGTAATATAATCGATTATTGTGTTAAAAAATGAAAAAAAAACTGGTAGAAAATTTATCATTCTCATTCTAGATTTTTCTTCTCATAATTTTTTTTCGTTACATTCAAAATATACTAGAATGAAAGGGTGGAAAGAAAAGAACAGAACAACTAATAAAAGACAGTTTACGCTGAACACTGGGTTTACACAGAGATTAGTGCAGAAGAAAAAACAATATCAAAGCAGATTGGAATACATTTAGTCAAGAAATGCATCCATCTCAATCTTCTGTGTTAGAATAAAACACCATTTTTTATACATACATAAATATACATAAACATCTAATCATTTTCACATAAATAAGCACAAAACAGGCATACCACGAAGAGGAATAATAGTAAAAATATACATGCAAGTAACTGAATACTCAACAGTAATAATATTGTTTTTATTAAAAACGAATACAAAGAGTAATAAGAGTATTCATATAAATCAGCCGATACATACATAGTGTAGCTTTTAATTATTTGAAGACAAGAGTTTATTATTATTGAGTTTTGCGGAGTGAAACAGTTTTATTAACTATATTGGCAGCGTTTTACAAATACTGATCAAATAATAGAAAGAGCCAGGATAGGAATAATTGATATGTTAATATTATTGTTAATGTGTCATGGTGTACAATTATTATTCGATAACCAAAGATCTATTTACTTCAAAAGACGTTTGAAACTTTAGGAAAGACAATACACAAATGGATAATAGTAATAATTATTCTGTTTTGCAAGAAAAAAATACACTATTGACATCATAATTGTCATCACATCAGAGTAAAATACATAATCATTGTGTATCACTTTGTATTTCGTGTGCAGGCATAAAGTCAAACAATAATTCAAGAAATAATCACCAAGGTAGCTGGAAAATACCGATAAAATTTGACTTCATAACAAATATACATATATATATATATATATATATATATATGATAACAACACAATATTCCTCATTGTAACAAGATCATATATTTATTTATACCACATAAATCATTGTATAATTGTTCCGAAGTATCGAAAGTGTTCATTTTATTCGAACTACTTATAACATTGAATGTAATAACTGTGTAATTAATAGCCATTATCAACGCTGTCATTAACAATCCTTGCAAACACCAATTTTACGTGACTAAATATTTTTCGTCAATTATTAGGAAATCTCTTTTACATTTTAAAACAAATACAGATAAGTTAAAGGTGAAACAAAGAAATAAATAAAAGATTATCATTGAAAATCCAGACACAAAATATTTATACTTTTGCACAAGTTAGCGGATAAATTATTATTTTTTTGAAATACATTAGTCTAGGCACAGAAAGAGTACAATACTAGTGTTTATGTATATTGAATTATACACCAAGTAAAATAATGTAGAAAGAAGCTAAAAAGCAATTTTTTCCATACAAACTTTGTTTATGTTTGACGTTCACTTGACAAACCACGATTATTGGTTTCAAAGTAAGGTTGGATCGATAACTGGAAGAAATCGCCTACAAAATTGTGCTGAAATCTAGATCAGTGAGTTTTCATACAAGATCTAGAGAAAATATCCGAAGTAACATTCAATAAAATGTATACAGAATATTCTTTCTCGATCTTCTAATTCACACACTTATGTATGTACCGAATTATACACACATTTAAATCTAAAGTAAAACTCATCCGCTCAGCGTCACCGGATCCATCGAAGACAATAAAAGACAGTACAATGTCTGCACAAAACGGCTGCACACGAGGGTAAGTAGGTAAAACAAACTCATTACTCATGGATAGAAAAACTCAGTTTATATATGACACAAAAGGCCCACAACAGACAAGAATAATTTCATAATATGTAAGGGAATAGCTAACGTTAGGATATTTTTAGAGAATTCCCATAGTTTACATGTAGATAGTTAAAGAAGTCCCTAGGAGAAGGCTATGCATACATACCAAAGTAAAGACTTTCTGATAAATAAATTATTAATACTTTCGACAATAATTCAACATAATTTTAAATACCTAGAATTCTTCTTCACCATTTATTCACTGAAATAAAATTTGAATAATAAAATGAACCAGTAATTTACACGTTTCTGATTTTCTGTTTTATCACTGTTTAGTACATTGAAATTAGCCATAACGTGTCAATCGATATATGTGATGTTGTGCCCTACAACCCTCTTGTGCAACTTCCAATACATATGCAATACACAATAATACTTCATTTGTTAATTTATTTGTCAGGACCTAAAATAGATTTTGTTTTTGAAAAGAAAAGAAGAAACAAGTATAATTAAATATGTTATGATAACTTGAATATAATGATTAAAAATTTTTGATTACCAATGAATTTAAAATCATTACATGATGTTACTAACCTTATAATACGCTATACTAATAATATCACGATTATTTATATTAACTAATGCAGTTGTAAAAATAATTACCACTTTCATTACGCTTGTTTATTGAGATGATAATCTTCAGATAAATTGATAATGGCATTTTTCATTCGAATAAAATCTCATTTGGTTTTTGTTCTGCTGAAAACATTGTCTTGTTGTTTAGACTTTAACGTTGACTGAATTCTACACAGATTTACGATGAATTTTTTTCTTACCGCAAAGAATTAAGTCACTTTCAAACATAGAATTCAGCTTACCACATCATCTGGAAATAGTTTAGTTTTACTATTACGTTCGCCATTAATGTGTCTGAAATCCCCCCCTCCAAAAAATTAGATGTATTTCCTCAGGCAAAATAAGTTTTGGCGAATAAGGAACATCAGTCTGGAATAGTTATTTTTAGAAATAAATTGTCCTCTTTCATCAGGATAACATAAAAGTAGCATAATTGAAATACTTCAAAGATTTAAAACATTGTGAATATCGGTACCTGACATGTAAATAAAGTTTTAAGAAAACGAGCTGTTTTATGAACAGATTAGCGGTACCATAATTTAAAACATTTTGAAATCAGATCATCTTATAATTATGTTTCTTGAAAAAGTTATTTTCTAACTAAAAATATCAAGTTATGAAAATTGGCAAATGCTAATTTCTGTATACATGGACTAATACAATCACCTTCTTTAGTAAGAGAAGTTCTTCATTATCTTTTTTCAAAGAACAGTCTACTGGAATGTAAATCACAAATAGAAATCGGCTGTAGGGCTACTACTATAATTAGACTTTTTCAAAATAAATAAAGTTACGATTTCCCACTTTGTTTAACTCAGAAAATCTTTGGAGAATCAAAAAAATTTATATTATGACGCAATACTTCAGTTAGTTAATGAAATGATGAATTGTTGAATTATACATTAAAAATATGTTCCAGATTAATTTGATTTTACCACACTGGCAGATAAATATACTTTTTCATCATAATTATATAAACTAGGATTCTTTTATCAGTAGAGTGTCTACAAACAGTCATCCAGTTTGTGAAAGATTCTCTATGTAAAGAAAACAGTTAACCGTAAATGAATCGCATGTCAGTAAAATCTCTCACAAAATAATAAACCACATGAAACAATGAACATTCAGTCAACTGTGAATCATTTAAAATGTGATGTAATCTTTCACTGGTCCAAGTTGATATATCCTACATCAGTACAGTGATAAAGCAAATTAAGAGGTAGATGAGTAAAAGAGTTGACATAACACTACTAGATGTGGTTGAAACTAAATATTAGGAACATAGTTATACCTAAACGAATGAGCCTGAAAAGCAAATAATACTAAACTCATTTATTTGATAATCCAACCGTTGAACAAGAATTGTTTCGAAGAAACGTATTACTTACTTTCGAATATCATTCCTAGTTAATCTTCATTTGTAAAAGCTCAGAAACGTCGTTTGTACATTAAGTTTAAATAAGCCATTAGTTGAGATTTTGAGATGATAGTAAACGAGCGGTAAAACGATAAACTAATCGGTAATCGGCTCTCATTTTTACAGATCACTGGATCTCCAGTTTAAAATCTGGTAGAATGAGTCGGATGTGATCGAAATTCCAGGCCTTCTAAACAGGCTCACAAACTAGGGGTATATTAATTATTATTGGTATTATTACCGTCTTATCATATTTATAGCTTTGCTAATACTAACACGAATACTACTGGTTCAAAAGACAATGATGGAATGTTTGGTATTATTACCAAAATTTGACTTGATAACTTAAAATAAATTGAGTACTGGAGAAATTACTCATAAGGAAAGTAATATGTTTGCAATATCTCAATGAGCAGCGAAACTAAATTTCCTGATATTTCCTGACTCATGGTAAGCCACTTCTTAAAAAAATAAAATCGTATACAAATTAAATTAACTGAATTCTAAATAGTGCAAAGAAATTGAATTCCTATTTACTGAGAAAACCACTTAGCACTCTAGAAATTGGCCCAGTTGTAGATTAACTAATCGAAAAACTTCCAGAAAATAACTTTCATCCACAGCTTCAAGAAACATTACATATTTTTACAAAACGAAAACTCTTCCTACTTAAAGTTTCACAAGAAGAATCGAGAGCCCTTTATCCACTATAAAAATCATTATTAGTGCTAAAGCTGAAAAAAGTAATACAACTGTAGTCATGAATAAAAGGGATTATAGTGGAAAAGCTTTGAACACCTGTCCATAGGATCTCAACAAAAGGTTGACAATAAAAGTTATCACATTTTTAGTAATTTAGTTCAACTGGAGATAAACTAACTTTCGAAAAATAAACTAAAGCTTTCTATTAGTGTCTCCTTATGGTTTACTTGATGTCCCAAATCATGCACTATATCACGATTTTATGGTCTACCCAAAATGTATAAGCTAGATATCCCCCCACTAAGATCTATAGAAAACTTTACAAACAGTCCTTCATATGCATTATATAAAAATTTAAACAGCGAATCGAGGCCATTTCAATACAAGTTACATAATGTAATCAAAGATTCTTATGAATTTAAGTGTGAAACATAGGAATTAATTATCTAAAAGAATGAAACTATGATAAGCTATGGTATTTGGTATAAATGTACCAGTATTCTAATTGATAAATGCCTATAATTTACTGGTAGTTTAGTAAAGAATGATTATACTTTTTCTGACAGATGTCCTTCAGGGATTATTTTAGTCATAAAATCCCTAAAACTGCCAAAACTCAATCTCATTTACCTTTGATCGGACACCATTTGAACAAACTAAGGGAGTGACAATGAGATCCTTAATGTTCTCAACTGTAGCTAAACTATAGAATCAAGTATTTTCACCAATGATATTGAATTACAAATTTGCAGTAGATATGTGGAGGATACTTTTGTCATCATAGGAAAGACGTTCCTGTGATCTTTTGTAGGCTGATTAATACACTCTCATCCTCACTAAATCCACTTATGAGAATGAGCACTGTGAGCTGTCATTTCTAAGTAAGATTCTAAACCTAACCATCTATCGTAAATCAACAGACTCCAATCGTCATACTGATTTAAGTTCAGCATATCCAGTCAGTGTAAAAACTCTTAACTCAAAAGTTTCTGGAAGAACGATCAATATTCATACAAATGAAGAGGACATCCAAGAGGAACAGAAAAAAATAATGAACATCTTACAGTTTAATAATTTTTTTATGATTGTTATTAAAAATTTGCTAAAATGAGACGATTTATTATTAAGTAGTAGCTCGAAGGAAATACCATCGATTGGTACCATGGTTCTAACCTACCCCCATGATACATCAAAGATGCTCTAGACGATCTTAAAACGATTCAGAATTAAAGCAACCAATACCCTTCGAAATGTTTTAGTCCGCATAAACGAGGAGATCCTATTAATGTTAATACAGAACTGTGTCTACAGATTACGGTCTATCGATTTTGATGCCTTCTAAATTGGAGGGTCATCTCGTGAAATCTTGACTTCAGCCATTGAACATATAAGCTACATTAAAAACCACCTAATAATTTTTTAGAACTTAAAAATATCCAAAGTAAATCAAAAATAGCAGTGTATGCCATCTTCAATAACCATCAAGTTGTTATTAAAAATATCAAAATAATACAAAAAGGCTTCTACAACTACAAAGAAAGACGAGTAGCTGAATCTTTCTATATATTACTAAATCTTACTGCTTTCAATCGGAAAGAAGTTTATACCATCCATTTAAGTTGGTTGATTTATCCTAGCTACATCTCATAACGTTAGTGCACATATAAATTCAACTCAACCATTCATATTACAAATGTTAAATTTCTCACACCCATTAACATTAACACACATATACAATCATATCACATGAAAATCTCATTGACTAAAGTGATTTGACGTTGACTCGGTCGAACCTATTTTCGACTGATTGTACTAAATATTTTTGTGTCATTTTTCTGCATAATTGAAACCTGGATTTATATACTTAGTTTTTTTTTCGAAGATGTAAGCTGTACTGAGTCAGAAAATGATTGAAAATTTAATTTCCCTAGTCAATGGGACATTACAAATTTATTCATTTTATTATTAATATTGGAGTTTGTTTAAAAGAAACAATTCATTGATAGATTTGTCCAAACAATACAAAAGTAATTTTAATTCACATAAAATAATAACGAATGAAAATGCTTTCGATTTATCGAAAAAGGACACTTAATATTACATGATAATTCGGAAGATAATTATCAGCCTAATAAATGTAAACTAGATTACAAGTATAATGTACTTGTTTATAGTCCTTATTCTAAAGACGAATAGTAGTTGCCTCAGTAATTACTGTGGGTGTAGAGACATAACTGTATACTTGAACATGTTAGTATTAAAAAAACGAAGTTATGACGAATGAAGTGTACAGAAACAATAAAAGCTAAATATTTTAGGGATATATGTATATATTGTTAAGCTTATCAAATCTATACATAAATATTAACTTGTATAATTGAATAGACGTCGGTTTATAAACAATTGAGATTAGTATTTCGATGCGAAATTATCATTAGGGTTTGGAAAGTAATTCTACAAGCAAACGTAATGACAACTGTTTATAATTTGTGGACCAAAGTATTCCTGTTATGAAATTAAATCAATGCATAAAATTCATATTCCATAATGTTGAGTATTTGATATTTTACTTTTAAATGACAAATTGCAACCAGATTGAATAACTTTTGTAGTATATGATTAATATACATAGTTAGTTTATTGTCAAAGTATTAGTTCCATGAGAACATATGAATTAGTAATAAACATGATGATGTAGTAGGAAGATA